CCCCCCCCCCCCCCCACCTCATCGCCTTCACCTCTTTCCTTTTTAGAAATATCTTCTCAAAACTATAACCTCTGGCTAATCAGATTGCATTCAATAAAGTTTTATGAAGAAATTTCGTAAATCATCAATTGTGACCAAAAAAAAAAACATTGCTGCTGTGTACAGTTGACATTGATTTTAATGCTGTGTAGAAATCCGTTGCCATTAATTTGAAAGCAGAAAAAAAATTGTTGAAAAAATTTTGAAATTAAATACTTTTCAACCCTTTGACTTTATCTTCAAACATTAAACTATCGTATAATCAAAAACTGATTCCAGATTCCAATTTTTTCAAAACTTTTTCTTGCTTGATTTTTCACATTCTATCCTCATTACTAATCATTGCAACAATGATTAAACCATCTACCGTACACGTCATTTTACCGGGGGATGGCGATGATTACTATACAGGTATATATATATATATTTGTGTGTGTTTGTGTGTGTATCTGTGTGTATCTATGTGTTTTTAATTTTCAGATTCTTAAAAACAGCCACCGAAATTATATGACGTAAAAGTAGCTGCTAGAAACGCCATTTGCCTTATTTTCTGGTTTCCTTTGTTCCATTGGAACAAAATGCCACCAAATTGACAATTTTCCAAGGTCCAAAAAGTAAACAAAGCTACAACAGCAACAGCAGCAACAACAACAACAACAAGGAGAAGAAGAAGAAAAAAAAATAGAAGCCGAGAAAAAACCCTATTACAATACGGTGCACTCAATTCTGCTAAATAAAGAATCAAATTTAACTGTCTTTCTTCCAAAACACTCATTGAAAGAAGGAAAAAAAATTCAACTATTCAACAGCAACTATTTCAATACTGTCGTCTACTGGCCGTTAAGCAAAAACGAAAGCAAAAAGGACGGGGAAAAAAAAGAGAGTGAACCATTAAAACACAAAAATAGCTTTCTGTACAAAAGCCACCAAGAAATCTTCAGTTATTTTAGCTAAATGTAATAAACACAGGTCAGTAAAAAATAAAAAAATAAAAAAAACGAGTGGAGAGGGAAAAAAGTGTGCATAAGAAAATTAGGATCATTTTTTCTTCTTATTTTCTCTTTTATTTTTTTGCATAACTAATCCAGAAGCAAACCAAAGTTGCATATTACAACTGCTGCTGTAAAAAAGGTGACCACGATATTAATTGTGTAAACTATTAATGTATGGTTTAAATGCAGCAGCAACCACAAATATTCAACAGACTATTTAGTGTACAGACAAAGAAGTGGAAAGAAAAAAACACGAGAAAATAATAATAAATCAAAAATAAAAAACAAAATATTAAAATTTCTAACAGTTTTATGAATGAATATTTTTTTTTGAAGACAAAAAATTAAAAAAACAAATTGAAAAACAAGATTTCAAGTTGAAACTTCATGTAGGCAGATGAGGCATAAGATGGTGATGAACGAGGGAGAGGATATGAAAGAAGAAAACTCAATAAACACCTTACGTGTAAAATAAAGCCAATAAGTGCCTAATTTTAATGAATACATTATTTTGGCAGAACATAAATAGATGTTTAAAGCAACAAACGAATTTCTCCTTACTTACTCCACTGTTATAAACTAAGACTCTTACAAAGAGCTTTTCTTGCAAAAAAATCGTCTGGCTGTAAGGCACAGCTAATCAGAAGCGATTTATCATATGACTTTAAGATTGCTAACATAATTCGCATCAGAAACAAAAAACAAAATACTACCCACCTTGCGTAAGTTTACAATATTTGCACTTAAAGTAGCGCAGATTAAGTTGTCGTTGCAGACTATAAGATTTGCCAAAATAGAACCACCACAAAAAGTTGACCAAATCAGTAAATGATTCTAGAAATAAAGACAATATCTGCGCTAAACTTTTAATTAGAAAATACAAATAAGGCAAAAAACTTTTCGTCTTCTCATCTAAAACAGTTCTTAATGCAGGTCTGATCATTACTACAAAACAAAAAAAAGCGTTAATAAGAAAAAGGAAATACATGTGGTAAAAAATAGCAATATTTGAACTTTTCTTATTAAAATATTTTTCTTTGAGTGTAAGAGTTAGAAGACACAACAGAATTTACATTTGAAATAAATTCAATTTTGCCGATAAATAATTTAAATCTTTGAGCGACTAAAATTCTGCAACTGATACCTTATAATCCAACAAACGAATGTATTTGTCGTGTGAAGTTACGATGCATTTTCCGTCAGAAATAAATTCTGCTGTAGATTTGACTATTTCTTCCGTTTCAAACTTCCATACCATATTTCCGGTATCTTCATCCAGAAAGTAGACGTAGTGATCGTAGCATCCTAGAAGAAAATGGTGTAATGAAAAACTATACAGAAGAGACGTAAAACAGATTTATTGTGTTAAAACAACATTTAAGGTGGCTTAAATTCACTAACCTACGGCTACCGTACCATACTTCACAGCAACTGAACCTTCAATACGATCACCAAAACGCCTTTTCCATCGCAGTGTTCCGTCTTCCACTGCCACAGAAATCAGAAGTCCAGAATGTGAACCAATGATTACAAAACTAAAAAACACTTAAATATAGTTAAAAACGATTGTTTATAATCAGTTTCTAATTAAAATTAAGAATAAGTCAACGAAAAAGACTTCTTCAATTCTGTTTTCTGCAAAACTACCATTTACCTCCGCTACGCCAGTGAAAATGCAAATGTTAAAACCAAAAAAAAAAAAAGAAAAAAAAATGCTTCTCACTTTTTGCTTACAACAGGAGTTGCATCAATGCATTTCTCCATGTAATAATCCCAACACAAAGTACTTTGCGAAACATAATCAAGAACCGATAAGTGCTCCTCAGTGACGGTATTACAAGTTATGACACTTGTTTGATGTAAACAATTAAGTGCAGATAGGAGACCCTCAACAGTACCATCATCAGACAAGACATATTGGACGATCGAAAATCCTGGCTTTACCACCAGATGTTCGATTTGAAGCATTAATTCCGTCGCCATAAAAGACGTGAATCCCAACGACACAAAAGTTTCATGTTTATCTTTCGCCACATCAACACCTCAAAATTGGTGTAAGACAAGTTTTCCTACTTTCAAAGAATCCTAAACTCAGTAAAACTGTAGCTGAGTGAATTTTTCAAGAAATAAACCATGAAGAAAATTACCGAAACTGGCAAAAATTTCTGGAATATCATTTACCGCAATAGCACTCTTGGACTTTTTAAAAATTTCAAACAAAGCACGACGATCAACTTTACCTAAAACAGATATCTTCATTTCTTGTAAAAAGACGCAAAAAGTTGCACAGTAACATCTTAATCTTGATGGGAAACTATTCTTCATGTGAAGGATAAAATTTTAAGAAAAAGATATAACTTCCCATGCTCTGTAATTGGCCACTCCTGGATGTTTATTATTGCATGACATTGCCAATTTAAAGGCAGAACCTTTTTTATATTAGCAGGTGACGCAACGTCTGACTTGAGAAACAAAATTAAGCCTTCTTTGTAATTCAAGACAGCACAGGAATCAACGCCATCCAAGCTAGCAACTTTTGCTTCAATTTCATTAAGATTCAGTCGAATTCCGTTGACCTTTATCTATAAAAATAAAAAAACGCAAAATAAAAAACAGTGCATTTTGGCGATCAAATACTGAGTCTTAATCGTCTTTTAGAGGTACTATTCATGAAATTATTAGAAAACTACTGCACTGAAAGACTCTACTATTTGTTCGATTAATCTTCCACAGATGTAGATGCGTCTTTGGTGATCAACCTTAACCAAATCACCAGTGGCAACCCACTGCTGTTCATATGAACGATCAATAATGCACCTACGACCACCAATCATCAGTTCGTTCGAAGGTGATATCTTCCAAGCTGTCTCACGAATAAGGTTACCGATGTCAACTTCACCGCTAAATCACATTTATTTAAGGATAATTTGAAAGTTGTCTGACTACCAATAATTTTATGAAGGAAACCTTTGTATCAAAGTCTCGTAATCAACCTTCCGAACGGATGCCCAACATGAAACTTCAGTTAATCCATAAACGTTACACACTGTCGTCTTACAGTGCAGAGTAAAATATTTCCTCAGAAAACTTAGGGGAAATGCTTCTCCGCCGACTAATAGTACCCGTAAAGAAGAAGTGGCAGAGAGCAGTTCGCTAAGAACGACTGAAGGTAAAAGCTTAAGGACCGAAGGCGTAGTCTATAAAAACAAAGAAGAAAAAAGAATAATTTATCAATGAAACATATTACAAATCCAAAAATAACATAGACTATTACTCTGTAATGAGTGGCAAAAAAAGTCAGCTAAAATTTACCTGTAAGAATGTTACAGCATAATTCAGGAGAACCCTTCCATAAACTGAAGGCCGAACTCTGACAACCTCTGGAATAATGAGCAAAGCGCATCCGACATGAACTGCCAAAAACAGCTCCACTACAGATGGATCAAAAGTGACTGCTGTTCCATAAGCAATGATATCCGATAAAGAAAGACTAAACCGTTCACTAAAAATATAAGTAATTGAAACATCTATGTAATTTTTATAAGTTTGATTAAAAAATCATAAAATATTGTCTCAATTCCTCAAAAAAATTATTTGAATAATAAAAGCAGTGTACGGAGTATATCTGAATAAAATCAGATTTTTAATTTATTAGTAAATTAGTTCATCACTGTCTAATAAATCGACATTTAGGGAAAAAAATATTTCAGTGCTTACCTGAAATCAACAATATTTGGCATTATTGCCGTGTATGGTACAATAACTTCCTTCTGTTTACCCGTCGTTCCAGAAGTATGTACAACATAACAGTTTTTCGAAATTCCAACATTAGGAAGTTTATCATCAACAAAAAATGTGAAAAATACTGTTGAATTGTAGATACTGGCATATGTATCCGAACCGATGGACAACGACACCAGACAAGAAGCCTTATATTGTTCTCGCTCTTTAAGTAATGAATCTGTGTTCGATGTTAGCGTGCACGCGAAAACATTATTGGATTTCAAGATCCTGTGGAATTAGTGGAGAGTTAAGTAAGATATTGAGAATAGTCGCAAGAAATAATTGCTTAAAATTTTAGAAAAAAAATTAACATTTATTAAAAAAATCAAATGGTACTGTAATCCTTCATCTTTCCTTTTCAAAAATTACAATTCTTGACATACTGTTTTATAATTCAGCAGAAATGTATCATCAAAGTTGTTACCCTATTATTACTGAGACAAAAATTGACGACTTTGGCACTGCCACCAATACCAAGCTATTTTCCAGACTGCTTAAGACCTGAGCAACTGCATCCGCTGCATTGCATATCTCACAATAGTTGTACAACCGGATCTTTTCGCCTGCGTCGTCAATCTCAATAATCTTAAAACCCGTAGACACAACGAGGCTATCATACATCGTTGAACAAGACTAACTTTTCCCTGTCAACCACAACTGCTTCAAATACTGCGGCTCAACAAACACCTTACTGTACTGCTCGGTCAGAAATAAAACAGCTGCCAAAGGCGTTCCTCATTTCTCATCCGTAAACTTAACACAACTTAAAACTCCAGCGTCCTTACGTACCTAAACTGATAGCTAAATTAACTCGCCAAATTTACTGCACTTCCGCATCTCGACGCAAGTGGAACTGGTAGATCATTTCGAAAAGCTTAAATTATTCCTATTCCGAGATTACAACAGAAGTGTTACACAAACGCTGTAAAATCAGTGTGCAATCAGTCAAATCTAAACAAGTACTGAAAAATCCATTTAATAGATATATTTTTCAATTCATCAACTTCACCAAACTGTAACAAACAATCACACTGACAGTAAAACCCGCATTTACTTAATCAACAGAAACAAAATAACAAAACAAAAATCAACAAAACTCCGTGTAACGGTGTAAACTATGCAAGCTTTTGAACAAAACATTGGATAAAATTTTAAAAGCTGGAATTTAATCTCTACAATAAATAAAAACAAGAATTACTTCACGATGCTGGTAAGCTCAAAATCTCATACACCTTTTAAAACATCCTGTAAGAAGAAAGCTAAGCACTAACTTCTCTCCCTACTCTTTAAGTTAAGCATACTTTTTTCTTCCGGTAATATTTTAACCATCCTTCATCCGCTGATGAGGTCCGCGGATGGCAATGCAAAATTACCTTAGGTAAGCAAATGTCCAGAGAGGACCGAAAAAATTGCTTAGATTAAAAACTTTTTTTCTTTCTTTAAGCTTACTTACCGTTAATTTTCTTAATTTCCTACTTTTATCTTCTCTTCTCCTTTTTCTAAATCAAGTCTAAATTTAACTGTTGCCTTTTAATTTAATACCAACCTAACACATATCTTCGCTTCATAACATTACTCTATTCTTAATTCTATACTCATTCTCTTACTTTAAGTACAAATTATCCTAAGCTAACCTCATACTTTATTCTATAAGTTAACTCTGATTTAAAATCCATATTTACCCTCTACCTTCCCTTAACCTGAATCTTTACTCAAAATTACAACAAACCTCACTTTAGCTTCCGCTTTAGTAATTATCAAATAACCCAAATTCAATTTAAATTTTACACTATATTCCTTTGAACTTCACCTATTTGACTTTAAACTTCGCTTTAATCTATACTGTCATTATATACTGTTACTTGATTTGAGTTCATTTATTTTTTACATCTTAACGCACAGTTTTACCTCATCCCAAACCCGATCTTCACTACTTAACTTAGTTTTATTTAAACGTTATAATATATTCCACAAATTAGCTTTAACCTACGCTATACCCTTAACCAACAACTTTACCTTAATTTTACCTAAGTCTTTATCATATAAAGTAAAATCAACCCAAAAGGCCTACCTTCCTGAACCGTATTTAATAACCCCTTTTTCTACCACGAAAGGATAAAAGTGCATTTTGCTGCAACAACTCCACTAAGTTAATAACCCACAAGAAAATATTTACAATTATGACTGCACGAGGTAATAAATAAACGACATTACATAGTTATTGCTCCTCTATGCTTAAAACACAACCATGACTGTTACACAAGAACGACGACTGAATGCTATTTTCTTTTGAGAAATTGTCCAAAGCAAATTCGTTACTCTCTAGATACTTGGTAGGTTATAGAAGCAATCCAGTTAAGCCCTCTCATTTATTGAGAAGCTTGATTGGCTTCTTTTTGAAACATGAACTGTTCAAATTAAAGAATTGCCATTTAAAGTTCCTCAATCCTAAAAACTTTGTACTGATGATTAAGCCTTTTTTCTTCTTGAATGCGCCACGAAGACTCCAGAGCACCCCCTCTAAGCTTCCTTTTACCAAAAAAAACGCGGCCAACTCGAAAATGTACCAAAGCCATAGCACACATAGCACAAGGTTCTTCAGTCAGAAAAACATCAAACCCCGTTCCAAGATATTGAAGAACATCACCTGTATCAACCCATCATCATTATCAATTTTATACTGTATTCAGCGTAAGAACTAATGACAACAGACAAAAGAAATTCAACAGAAAGAACTTACTGTTCCCAATACGATGGGCTTCACAAAGATCAGACACAGCACACATCACTGCGTGACCCAAAGTAACAGGACGTTCCGCGCTTTTGGCAACAACCTTTCCCTTTAAATCAACGATGATGCAGCCTGAGCCATCTCCACCAATCTAATTAGAAACAATATTGAAAAGCTAGAACCAGAAAAACTTCGGAACAGAAGAATGAAAAGAAAAGCACAGCAAGCATTGGTCATAACAAAGACTGGTAGCTCACGGCACAGTAAGCTGATACGCAACGGAGTTATGATCACGAACAATTCTGTCAACAGTAACCAATCCAAAAGCTACCCAGAAAAAAAGGAAACAAAACAAACTTTTTCTGCTTCCAAAAAGAATCCAATAATTTTTTCGTGTTCATCTTCGTCAAAGAAAGATCCAGCCAAAAGTTTTTCAATATCTTTGTTCGGATGGAATGCGGTAGGCCACCTTTCCTTAGCCCACTGAAACTGACGTCTCGTGCATGGCTTCACTTCTGGCACTAATACCGATGACAGAGACAATTCCGTACCTAACTGAGAAGATAAGCTGGTAATAAAATTATCCTGCAGCGGAACAGTTGACGGTTGAACCAAAATACGACCATCTTTAATTCGTTTCAAATGACCCGCTTCGGTCGGCATGGGGGGCAGAAGCGGCAGCAGCTTGCCAATCGCAGTCAAACAAGGCACACTAAGAACCCAATACTCAATTAGTGGAATTTCTTCCTTACAAACATCACCTTCCAAGATAGGGACAATTTTGAACCTAAAAAAATTTGAAAGTAAAACACCTACAAATTTACCAAGAAGCAACCAGCAAATTTCCAAAGCAGTCATAATTTCAAGCTTCGTTTTTAAACTCTTGGGCAAAAAAAGGCTATTTTGCAAGGCTGCAGATGGCAATTACGAAAACAACTGACCGTCAAAACAAAACTAAAAACAATACATAACTGCCTAACCTATTTCATGGATTATTCTATAGCTGTTGCTACTGCAACAGTTGATAAAAAGTTTATTAGCTAAAATCGTGAGAAGACCTCGTTCTGAAGCATAAATAAAGCAGCAAAAAACATCCATAGGCCGTAATATCTCAAAAAGCAGGGCACTTCTAACGTATAAATAAATTAATTTGTTAAACAGAACAAACTTCCTGTCCCTTGCTTTCTTCTTCTGAGGCTCCATATTGACTTCTTTCGTTGGGCATAATGCTTCCTCATCCTTTGCGCTTGCACACATAGAAAAACAACAATACAATAGTAGCGCTGAAATTTAAAAGCACTGAGATGACGTAGATTTTCCAAATTAATTTTAAATTTAAAAAGCATATAGAAAACTGTGTACAATTTCTGAATATTTGTTCTTCTGTGACAATAAAAAAATCTGAGAGAAGCTAAAGATTACAAAAACAAGCGGATTTAGTGATTCTGAAAGCATAATTGAAAAAAAAGCATCCAATGAAATTAACCTTCAAAAAAAACGTAAGTTATACAAAGTTAAATATAATTAAATTAAAATACCAATAATCTGAGAGCAAAGAAGTGAAAGAAGAAAAAAAATGTGAGGAAGATGGGTCATATAAGGAGAAAAGCAATATAAGAAAGCCCTTCTGTCTTCTATCTTGATGGTGTCATACGCAGTGTTGCTCCAGCAGAGGTTTTCCATAAGTAACTACCGAGTATGACAAAGAAACCTGGCGAGACATCAGCCCTACTGACTTAAGAAAACGGCAAGTTTTAAAGGCATCAAGCCGTCCTTGCTTGAGGAAAAGTACTCAAATCAAAAAGTTTTTCATACTGACGACTAATTTCATAAAAACTAATTCTGCTTCCGCTAAATTATATTCAATAGACCTCAACCAGTAACCCACTAAACAACATTTTAAAGTGTTCTCATACATCAACAGAAAACTAAAAAATTTTACACTTCTCTGCTAAATATTATGAACTAAGTAGCAATGTACGAAGAAGAACTGAGTCCACTGACTTGAAGTCAGAAAAGTCCCCAGAAATCAAATGAAAGAGGAAAAACCATTAGACAATTCCTAGTTGACATAAAGGGATTTGAAAAGCTAACCTTGTCTGATTATCCGATGCACGATACCCCTGGAGGCTTACATAACCCGAGAGACACAAAATTTTGAGGATCCATAACTGCAATCAGTTCAAAAATAACTCCAATGTCTGTTTTGTTGGGTGACTGCCAGAAATCCATAATGAATTTCAGTTAAACAATCAATTTAATGCAGCACAATATTTATTGACGTTATTTTAATGATTAAAAATGGACGTTGGAATTGGAAAAAGAAAACCGATGTTTAGCAGAGGGCTTTTTAAAACCAAAAATTTGCGGCACAGATCCGTGATAATAATATTAAAATTGATTTAGCCAGCATAAGCATCAAAAAAGTGCAAAATAGTTGAACTATAGTTTGAACCAAGGAAATTTTTTCCTTTTCTCTGCTTTCAATTTGTTGTTCTTTTTGCGATCACCGGGGAGGAGGATTGCGGATGTTGCGTGACGAAGCCATGAATTTTGAAGCTAATTTTGAGCAGATAAAAATGCAGACAAAATTGTGCTTTTGGGATAGTATCGATAGAATTAAATTTTTCAATGAAATAAAGAGGAAAGAAAGTTGAACTCTTTATTTTTTTTTTTTTTCCTTGTCTTTCCGATGTTCAAGAGAAATTTTAGAGTAATTTAATTTTTTTTTTTTGTTAAAATATGAGGACAAATATCGTTTTCATTGGATCTAAAGTACTGCTTAATCGATTCTTACTGTGTATACGTGTTTGAGTGAAACTTTTAAAATTTTCAAGACAACTTGATCATTCAAATTTGTAGAGTAAAAAAAATGCATTAATCAAAAATTGTGTTTTTGTTCTTTCAGTTGCTTGAAAGGACACCGGGGGAAAAAAAAAAAGATGAGGAGACAAGGGTCGAGTTGGTCAGAAGCAAAATTATGACAGTTGGTACGACCACTTTTTTTTTCTACAGCATCAAATCCATATCAAATTTTTCAGAACAAAGAAAAAGTTGCTGTAATGGACTTAATCATTGTTCAAGAAAAAAAAAAAAAAAAATCTGCACATTATTCTCAAAATAATATACAGGTGAAAAGATTTTATTGTTTTTATGAATAATCGACATAAATATCACCGATGGTTGAAATAACATTGACTAAAAAAAAAAAAATTTGCATACCTGTACAGTAATGGATGCTATTTATCTAAAAAAAGAAAAAAAAAAAAGAACAAACGACTTTTGTAAATTTGTTGTTGTTTTAATCGTCTTTTTTTTTCGCTATATTGTTTTACAGATGTCTGAGCTATTTATCGGAATCAGATGAAGCAAATAAAGATCAGACGATTGCAGTGATTGTATGAACCGATAACTCAGTGTTAAAAGTTTTTGGTTAAATGTCACCGTGTTTTTTTGTTTTGCTCAATCTTAGTTCACCATCAAAACTGATGGAATATCAAACAACTAAG